AACGTTTTGCACCGTTTTTGTCGGGGCTGAACGCAGCCCAGGAAAGTCTGCTAGTTCACTTGCTTTTGTCCGGACCAAATACAATGTTGATTGTATTTATTTATTTATTTATTTATTTATTTTTTGTGTGTGTGGTTAACTTTCACACTGCCCTTTTTGCAAGTGAACCAGAAACTGTAAACAAAACCACTCGTGTGCTTAAGGTCATCCATTCATTGGTTCATCCATTCAACTGTACCAGAGTTCTTTTGGAAGCGGACCGAGACCACCACTTCAGCTGGGTCTCGGTACAGTTGTTTGGTGTGATTGCTGTATTCTCACCCTCCCAAAAGATCCGCAGCAACTTGAGTTCGATTCAATCGAACCAGACAAGACAGGTGTGAATACTTAAATTCATAATATTTGAATGTCTGTGGTATGAAATTCACAACAATCCTGAAAATTGTAACATTTAACATTAAGAATAAATCTGCACTGGTTGTCAGATAAACCCTGCATACTGTACAGCTCCTGAGATTGAGGACCCTTAGCCCTGCACATTTTATGACCTGATTACATCCACAATGTGTGGTGCCAGGGTACCTGGGGTGAAACCTCCTCTCCTAGAAGATTGTTTATAACATTAAGGACAAATGTTTTGTTATTAATATCTAATGCAGATAATACAATTTAAATATTGAAAGTCCAAGGTAAACAATATTCATTGTGCAGGTGAGACATACTGTACCTCACCCATAAATATCAGTACAGAGGTTATATGAATCTGCTACGTCATTTATGTCAATAAAGATGTTTTGTTATGCAAGTGTTCATTGTCATCACTACAATAAAAGCCAGTTTGAGCTCTTCCAGTTTGAAGAGCTCTGCCTGTGCAGCTTCTGACATACAATCATGGTTAAGGCAAAGACGTGGATCCTCTTTGAGGGCTTTCCTAAGGAAAATAACTTTGAACTGAGAGAAGAAGTTCTGCCAGAGCTTCAAGATGGAGGCAGGGGCGTGTCTACCGGCCCCCCCTGAAATTTGGCTGGCCACCCCAGGTGCCCCCCCTACCAGATGTCTTGCGATAGGCTCGCGCGAGGACGAATCTCTATGGCAAGCCGATTTAGCATTAAATACTACTTGCTGTACTAGTCATAATTTAGTTTTGACTAGTCAAAATTCCAATTCCAGATATCTATTCTGCAATTTTGACTCGTCGTAATTGGAATTAAGATATCTACAATGTGATTATGACTAGTCATTATATGCATTGAAGATATCTACAATGTTATTTTGACTAGTCATAATATACATTCGAGATATCTACAATGCTATTACGACTAGTCGTATTGTTCCATTGACTTCCATTGGAAAATATTTTCAGATATCTTCAAATGGGTTTTGACTAGTAGAAATTGTAATTAAAGATATCTATAATTGATTTTGTACTAGGCATAATTCTAATTAGAGATATCTCAAATTACAATTCTACTAGTGATA